AGGCTGCGGCCGGAGCAGGGGCCGAGAGCAGATGGCGCCGTGCGAGGCCGCGCTGGCGTCTCCTACGCGGTGCCCCGGCCCTGGGCACGCGTGGGGCGGCGCGCCGTGGGCGGTTGCCCGGATGAGATGCTGCGCGTCTCACACGGCGGAAGGCTCCGGCGCTGACAGCCGCGGGCGCGGGTGATGTGGGAGGAGGGATCCTCCTTGCGTCTGCCCTTTATCTGTGCAGCTCGGCTAGGGTGCGGGCGTTTGGGCTCCGTCCTTAGGCTGGGGCTGCAGCAGCATCACCTCCCTGCAAAGCAGCACGCCAAATCCCAACCCGGCCTCACAGCAGCTCTCTTCTCTATCCCCAGCTGCCATTGTTTGCCAGTGTCTTGTCTGACAAATGTCTGACAGCCTTTCTGTATTGAAGAAGGAATAAAAGGAAGAGGTTACAGCTGACAGTGTTCCACTGACAAGCAATACTGACTAAAGCCAAAAGATAGGATCAACAGTACAGGTATTTTGCTGTTCAAACTTGCTGGTGGTTTGTAGTTGAACTACAGTACAGAAGTGTGTCAAAAGGGTAATATTTGAATAAATAAGTTAGAGTTTGACCACCAGAGATGATGGGTGTGCTAGGACAAATCTGAAGGGTCGGTGTCAAGAACTGGCTAAAATGATTGTACCCTGAAAAATTCAGATCAGAATTCAGAGATCAGAAGATTTGAGCCAAATTAAGACTAAATTCCTTCCTAGGGAGAAGGACAACCACTGTAGTGAACTCTTGGCATTCAGTAGGTACTGAAATAATGAGTTTAGTCATATACACGGAAACTGTTAAAGCTTCTTTCCTTGAGAAGGAAGAATCAGGTTGAGAGCTTGTTCATCTTGGCCACAGCTAGGATTATCATAAATTAAGGCTGCAGCCACTCATAAATAGACCTAATGGATAAGAAAGAGGCAAAGCACAGGGGTCCAGGTAAAGTGGGGCTGCAAATCAACTGCCAAGGGAAGGTTTGGCAGCGAGAAGAATTCTCCGCTGAGGACTTCTTTATCTCAGCTATGACCGGGGATCGTTGTGTAAGAGTCAGCCCATGGCTAGGGTTAGGGTTAGGAGACAAACCCTTAGCAGGGGCATAGATGGAGATGAACTGCAAAGGTGGGTTGCCAAGGCAAGATTTGGGCTGCAAAAAGAATTCTCTCCAGAGGACTTTTTTGTCTCTGCTGCACTTGGAGTTGACATGGGTTAAGGCCTCAGGCACTCTCAGGGTTAGCGTTAGAAGAAAGACAAAGCCTAGGGGTCTAAATGAAATGGGGCTACAAATGGACTAGCAAGGGAAGATTTGGGCTGCAAAACCTATGATCTCCTGCAAACTTTTGTCACTTCTAGGCTTACGGTAGAAGAGAGGCAAAGCTTAGGGGTCCTGCTGGGGAGAGGTTGTGAAGGCCAGGTTTGTGCAACCAAAAGAGTTCTCCCTGAGAGCTTTTCCATCTTGGCCATAGTTTGGGGTCTTTGGCTAAGATCAGCCCACAGTTAAGCTTAGGGTTAGGGTAAGGGCTATTGATTTAGAGCGCAGGAGTTGTTTGGGTGTTGATAAGAGTTTGCAATGGGAAGGGCTGGAATGGGAAAATAATTCTGCTCTGTGAAGGAATTCAATCCCGAGGGAGCTTAAACAGAGGATGAGTAGTATAATAGATCTTTATTTTCATGCAGATCCTACCAATGCACAGTTACACAGGACTTTAACTTGATTTTCGTCTGGAACTCAGTCCTCTTTATACACTATCATATTTTGTTGGAATCAAAACTAACATGCTGTTCTTCAAGGCTTTTCACATTTGCCATGGGCCTACAGTAAGTTCCATATTGATAATAGTGTTTGTAGTAGTGTATTAAGTGCCACATTTGTTGTACAGCTAAAAGTGAAAAAGAGAGAGGCTTGGAAGTGCGTATACCTGATTGTACGTAGCACCTAACACGTAACGTGTGTTGCTGCTTTTTTCCTTGTCTGCTTTTCCTCCGCTCCACTAGCAGGCACAACCTGCTATTTTGTGTTTGCCTTAATCCAGGTATTAAACCTAACCATTTTGGGCATAGCCTGCCCACACTTAAGGGTTTTTCTGCATGTCATACTTACTATCTGTTTGTCAAAATAGCCACACATTTCACTGAGGCACCTAAATAACCTGACATTTTACAAATCACCAACAGCCTTCTGAGACCAATCTCTGTGCCCTGACTTGCTGAGAGTTATTGTGCAGATTTTTTCAATATGTGCATTGTTTCTTACTTCCTGATCCTGACTGCAAGGTCAGAAAGTTATAGCAGTGATAATGGTAATAGATAGCTTAGATCCTCTTTTGCCAGAAAAGACCTGCAAAGCCTTACCGCTACTTTTACTCATTCATGACAAAGAATCAGACTGCTGGTCAAGAGACGCTCTGCTGAACAACCTAAGCAACAGGGAATTTGAGAACTAGCGCTTGAGATTTCACCAGATCTCCCCAAATGGAATATGATTAGGAATGATCTTGTGTTTATACCTCCAAAGAGATTATTGTCATGAAATAAAAAATGGTTTATTTATTTTAACAGAACGGTTTGTAAGACAAATTTATTAAACAACAACAAAGAATCTGAATGAACAATGAAAGAAGTTTGTGATCTCTAATAGAAGCAGAGGCTGAATTCAGCCTTTAAAAACTACGAACAGTATTTAGTCCTAAAGGATAGAGAAGAAAATGGCTTCCAGAAGTCAATGTTAAAGAAGCCTCCGATACACCAGTTGCAATCTCTGTCATAGAATGGAAACAATTATGCAACAGTAGAGTTCCTGTTTGGTGTTATTCATAATTTTCTGAAACTCTTTTTGAGCCAAACTGTTCCAGGTTTGGTTGCTCTCTGAAGGTGAATAGTGCTGGAAAGTTTGGTCAAAGTAGTTTGACATACAGTAGCTCAAATAGAAGAAGTGGAGAAAAGTCTAATTTTCTATGGAAACCTTTGACTGATCTTAAAAAGTCTATAGGCTCCTTGCTTTATCTTTTGCACCAGACAAAACCTATGAGAACTGGTCCAGGAGAATGTTTAGAATATGCTTTACGATAGGAAACTCATCATTATGAAAGAGCATTGGATACTATAGCTTTTAAAAGTGTTATTGATTAAGAATGATTAAAAACATCTACTCAGTTGACTGTGATGTTTCCCTATCAACTTTCTTGAAACATTTTTCAATCTGGGGTGCAGCTACAATGTATCGTCATTTATTTCTTACTAGTCTCAAGGACCAGATCTGGAATAATGAAAGTTGTATCAGCACAGTGTTTCCTTTTGCATATATCCATTTTCATATTTTGCAATGAGGCAGAACATGGCAAGTATATTAAAATAAGAAATGTAACCTCCTATGAAATAATGGAGCTGTAACAGGGATTAATATGGCTCCACAATGAAGACTGTTGCTTTTTAATCATGATACCCATATGATACGCTTTGCAGTTTGTTTCGAAGTCAGGATGTTCTGGGATTGAAGCCAAACCAGAGACTTAAGTCTAAAATAAATTTTCTGTACCAGGGAAAAGCAGCTTTACTCATGAAAACAATATAGGATTTTAATAATAACACAAAGAACTTTAATCAGATGTACATTAAGAAACAATATTAAAAAAGCACAAATCAATTGCTACATGTTGGCAGATGTCCATATCCACCTTAACTGCAAGATTCACAAGCTTAGCAAGAAAATACTGAAGGTAAAATTCATAGTTTTCTTAATTAAACAAATACAACACATTTTATGTCACTATACAACAGCCTGTTTCTGACTTAGCAGTGATTTGTATTTTATGCCCATATCTGCTTCCTCAGTGCTTTTAAAGTGAGAAATCAGTTGATATATTTATTACAATAAGTTAATTTATATGAACTTATACACATATCACATAACATACAATGCACTATTTATAAAATGCAATTAGTATGTAAGATATATGCATGCCAATGTATATTAACTATACAAATGTGTATATTCCATTTATGAATTATAGCTTAAAATCATAAAATATAGATTTTATAACTCTATTGTGCTGATTTATAGCAAAATATGTACGTATGGCAATTTTTATTTGGGATGACTTAAAAACATATCTACACATGAATGATCCCCTGTCTCTTTCTCAGATGAGTTGAATTTGTACTATGCCATTTTAGATTATTGTTGAAAATACAGTGGTTTTTTTTTATGAGAATTGAAACTGTTGGGATAAATGGTTAATGCTGCGCACCAGTTAGATGTGTGACTGTCTTAGCTAGTCATTTCATGACTTCATTACTTCTATTTTTTAAATTTTGTAATTAAATGCCTTTATATTTAACTCTTTTTAAAAGAAATACTGGATTCTGGATTTTCCTAAATTTTAATATTTTCTCTTTTGCCTGAATAAAGACAAGTTTTAAAACATAGAAATGGGGTCGTGAATTTTGATTGAAACAGTGGAGGATGCCAATTACTTCTGCACAGTTCTACAAAACTGTTTTGTTTTGCTTTATCTTGTTTTGTTTTGTTTTAATCCATCCTAATCCTGTGAGGATAGTCATGTTCCCCAAGCCCTGAATTAATCAATCAAGCCTTTGAAAGCCTTGCATGAGAAGCCAGTTTCCAAAGGTTAATCCTTTAACACGGTATTGGCTTATTGTTATGAAGGTGTAGGTGATACTCACTGTGGCCTAGCTGGTCTTTTTACCAGTAGCTGCAAAATAACAATTTAACGTTAATGGATCTGGCTATACCTAATGATTAACCTAACTTTGTGCATTAGAAACCCAGCCCAGGGGATGGCAGTGGACAGATGGACAGACACAATCTTTTTTCTGTCGTAAAGTACTAAGCCCTTTGTAGAGGCAGAAAAGCATTACCTCTATTTTATACTTGACTTGACTGAATTAAGCATACATTTAGAAGTTAGGAGGTCTCAGCTAGCATACTGAGATTTGAACAAGTTGGAAGGGCCTACTCTCTGGGCTGATAAATAAAACATAGCTTGCCACCTGCTGTCCGAGCTCTTTTTTTTTTTCATATGTGCACTGCCAAAGGTTGGGTGTGAGAGCTAGCTGTTGGTGGTCAACCTGAATTCTGTTATGTTACATTTCTTTACAATCTCCTTCAACTACTTATGTCTGGTTTTGTTTGTTCTTTGTGGAAAATGCAGCTGAACAGCCAGTTTATTTGATTCTGGAGTTCTCCTTTGTTTAAGAACTACTTTTGGTCAGCTAGATTTAGATGATGACGGTATTTTACGGAAGATTTTTCCTCTGGTGGCTTTGCTGACAAAGATGTGTGTCTTTCAACTAGTCCTGACTATCAGGCAATTCCCTACTCTTATCCCCCCGAAAGATTTTTAAAGATATTGCAATTCTGCATATTACAAGCTTCCTTACACAAAAGCTATTTGTAAAGTTTGCTTGAACTTAAAATCCCACTTCACTTGGCAGAATGAGGTACATCTTTATGTACCATGAAAACTTTGAAATAAAATATTCTAGTATTTAAGAGTTTTTACTCAAGAAATCAGAGCATTGTCAAGTCTTAAGATTACCTTAAACTTGACAATATGTGTATATCTGTTTTTTTCAGGGCTTTTCTAGTATTCCAGAGATGGACAGATATCTGTGTGCTTGGAATACCCATATGTAGTCCTAGTGAAGTCAGTTGCAGAAGTCTATCAAAAACTGTAGGATCAAAATTGAAACAATACTGTCCACTGCAGCACTAATCCGTAATGTTGCTTTTATTCACAACCAGTATTTTTCCAGATACACTTGGTATATGTTCTTTAATGAGTTGTAATTCAAATAATCTGATTTTTCCCCTTTTACACTTGCAGACGTGTTCCCTCTTGCCTTCAACTTTAATCTGGCATTTTTCAGGACAGATGATAGTTTTTTTCAGCCAGTGTCACAGAGGAAGTGAATTTGGGCTCCGAAAGGGACGCTGCCTTATCTCTGAGGAGGCTACCACATATCCATAATGCATTACACCAGCTTGAGGCAAGTTCAGGCGTTCTTGTGAGCTATGTATTAGTACAGTTTCTTCTGAATAATTTATAGTGTTGCTGTGCAAACTAGGTTAGTATTGGGAGCCCTAGAAATGTCAGATTTCAAAATAATCTTTCTATTGGTAAAAGTATTCAGTGTGAAATACTATATTAAAGCAACACTGAAGCTGAGCTTTTGAAATCACAAAAGGCAGGAAATGCAGAGTTAAGGTTCCCATGGCAACCTTAACTCTACACCTCTAGGTAGGTAGTATGCTATGGTTTTAATTACTTCCTTTTTGTGCAACTCTATATAGGTGCCCACCTTTTATTATATGGATTCTAATTATATTGCATGTTAATTATAGTACATATTAATTACACTGACTATTCAGCAAACCTTAGAAAACAGGCCTTAACTGTGTCTGACTGCATGAAAATACCTTGCACAATGATATTGAGGTGACTACATGATGTGTATCTAGAAAGCTAACTAACTTATCTGCCTAGGCATTTGCGAGTGTTTTTTTTTTTTGAGTTAGAATAGCACAATATGAATAACTTCACAAGGAGAGAGAAATCTTAGCAAACATGGGCAATTTACAGGAGGTAAATGGTACTTTCTGGAAAGTTTAAGCAGAATAATGGTCCACTTCTCCAACAAAGCATGAAATTACAGTATTAGAAATGTGCATTGTTCCCTAACTCCAATGTGTACCTTACACAGACATAGCTCTTGCTCCTTCCCTCCACTTTCCTTCCCAACAACTTGGCAAGCAGTATGAAGTCCTTGCAAAGGTAGCATTTGCCTACTAAACTGCAGATTCTCCTGCTCAATTCAGGATTCCTGTATCTGCCTGCCAAAAGAGCAGATTTATATGAAATTTTGCCTCATTAAATTAACCTTTGGGTCTGTTAATATGTAATGGATGTACAGATGTTGGAAGTTAGAAACCTCAAGTCCAGAGCCCTGGCAGTGAGTCATTTAACCTCTTCAGGATGGTTATTTGAAAGGTGTAGCAGATTGTATGGTACATTACTGTGAAGAAGGATGATGCCCTCTGTCCATGACAGCAGGGAACGGAAACAGTTCGTATGGTATTTGAGAGAATCTGTTTCAGGAGAGGGCACTTTTGCAGCTGAAGTTCCTAGTGTATTCATTAAAGTTTGGAAGATTGTCACCAAAATAATGTAATAAAAGGATACAGTGTGAAAAGATTTTTAAACATGCTTCATTAATTTTCGTTTCTCAGACTGCTTGTAGCACGTTTGGCAGCGCTGTTTGGGTAATAGTGTATTTCTAGAATGTATGAAAATTAACACAGGTGAGCATGATGGCCAGGTAAAGTAAAATCTTTATGTCCGCATTTGTCATTGACAGCTACCTCCTAGAAAGCCATAAATTAGGCTTTACATGTATTGTTATGCATTAATTATTATTTAGCATTGAATGAACAATTAGAGCCCTCACTAAAGCCAGTTACAAGTCAAAAATAATTCAGAATTAGACTTTAATGAACAGTAGTTTGAAGGAGAAGTACCCTGAAGGAAAAATCTGCAATCTTCAAACCCATACACATTAATCAATACAAGAGTCTGGTGTAGAACTCCGTTAAATATCACTGACTGCTCTATACCAGTACGAACAAACTTACTGCAAAATCATAACCTACAAATAATCACTAATGAATTAGTGATTGTTTTTTTTGAAAGGCTGGAACATAACTATGGAAATAAAAAGGAAGATTCAAAATATTTTCTGGGTTTCAGCTTCTTTATCTTACAGGAAGATTTGATACATCCCTATTGCAACTATTGTAGATGCTGGGGAATTACTAGCCAAAAGAACCACAAAAAGTGGTCAGGCTTGCATGTTCTCCCTTCAGAGCTTCCCCGGTTGCCATTTTTGAGACAGAGTAAGGGGTAGGTGGACTGCTCATCTGCTCTAGTGAGGTATCTATTGTGCTCTTAATCTACACTATTCAGTGGCTCAGCAAAGATGAATTGCAGCAGAACTTCTAGTAGTACAAGCTGATGATTTCATTCATTTCAATTTCATTGATTTACTTTCTATTTCCACCGTTCATACCATGGCAAGCTTTACTCTGTCTGTAGCCCAGATCTTGGCTCCAGGAATTTCAGCTGGATCTTTTCTTAATAGCTCATAAAATGGGACCGACTTAGATTCTAATGGCCAGACATCGTAGCCCTGTATAAATTTTATTTTCTAAATCACCTGCAAAGAAAATTTGCTAATAATGAACAATTCAAAAATGGCTGAAAAAACAGTGTTTCCAGATATCAAGGTACAGTCTCAAAGAAAGCCTCATCTCTTAAAAACTTCTATTTAATAAAAGAAAAGTACCAGTTTGAGGCCAGACCTGACCCAGCTTCATGGAGCTTCCTGAGTCAGCAAGGCTCTGCATAGATGTGGACTGACACAAGGACCATAGCAAGAAGAGGCTAAGAGTGGCACCCATTTCCTCAACTCTTCAGGTTGGGGAGGCACCTGACAGCCAGCAGGTGAGCAGAACACAGGAGGAGATTGCTATATCTATAGCCACAAGAAGCCAAGTAAAAGGAGTCCTTCATATGATCTGCTACTGAATACAGTACTTCTGTAAGGTTAATTTACTGGAGAAGGAAGGACATGAAGCTTATATGTGACTTCAGGCTATAAAATACACTTTAATTTGCATCTCAAGTGTTATATGGATAGCATGGAATCAGGAGGAAAATTTGCAACCCGAATCTCCTACAGTGAAAAACAGCTGGTAGGAGAAAACACCCAGGAAGACTGCAAAATAGGGATTTTAGAGCATTAGTGGAGCGTTAACAGTGTTTGAATCTCAGTATTCCTAAACAGACTAGATTACTTGCAGTGGAATCGTAGGGCAGCGTCAAGGAAAAAAA